CGCGACCCACTAAGGTTTGTAGAGAAGAAGAGATTACCTTCTCAGAGAAATACGCGGTGTGATTGCATCATCCCCATGAGGATGCACTCGTCATCGCGCCTGAATAGGTCGGTGCGAAGTCCACAGGATGTTGGTGGACAATGGCAGCGTTATGAACATCCTATTTCAGCGACCTTCTAAGGAGATGCAATTGGACGAGGTAGATATGAAGCCTGCCTCTATCCCTCTCTATGGTTTTACCGGGGATCATCTGATTCCCAAAGGAACAATCGCACTTCCCGTTACTTTGGGTGAGACCAACGAAGTGACCAAGATGAAAAATTCTTAGTGGTAGACTGCTCATCCGCTTTTAATGGCATTCTGGGGCAACCTCTACTACGAAGTTTCAAGGTCCTTACCTCCATTTATCATCTGAAGATAAAGTTTCCCACTTTGATGGGGTGTGGGGAAATAAAAGGGTCTTAGAGCGAATCTCACGACTGCTATGTGAGAGCAGTGCAGATGGCATGCAAAGGGAAAGGGAAGCCGATGGGCATTCCCGAGCAAACAATGGCGATCAACAGGATCAAACCACAACCAGGTCCAGTGGAAGACTGCATAGATCCTCGTGTTCACAATGAGTATTCCCACAGTGGGCCAGTTGAGTCTCTGTCTGAGGTATCTGTCCACCAAAATGAGCCAACGTAAGTGTTGAGAATCGGGAGTAATCTCTACCCTAAGCCCGCCGCAGATTGAACGAGCTTCCTCAGACAGAATGTCGATATTTTTGCATGGACTCATGCTAATATGGTTTGGATCAGCCTGAATATAATATGTCATGCATTATACATCGATAGCGCGGTCAAGCCGGTTCGCTAGAAGAGAAGAGCCATGGATTCGAAACGCTATGCTGCTCTAAATGTTGAGGTGGATAAGCTCTTCTTAAATGGGTTCATTCGGGAAGCTCATTACTCGAGTTGGGTTGCCAATCTGGTTCTAGTGAAGAAACCCAACGGCAAGTGGCAAACTTACTGATTTCTCTCATCTCAACAAATCCTGTCCGAAAGATAGTTTCCCTTTGCCCAGGATCGATCAACTCGTCGATGCCACCTTTGGGTAAGAGCTGTTGAGCTTTATGGAAGCCTATTGAGGTATAATTAGATCCCGATGTATGAGCTTGACGAGGAGCATACCTCGGTCATCACAGATCAAGGACGGTACTTAGACCTGGCAAAACGGGTCTGGACCCACGGGTCGGTCCGTACCCGGGTAAAAAATATAGGGTATAGGTCCAATAAATTAAGCCCATTTTTTGTGACCCGTACCCGTACCCGGTCCAATAAATCACGGGCTATACGGGTGAACCCACGGGCACCCGTATTTGCCAAGTCTACTATTCACTATTCACTGAATCCCTAAGTTTTTAATTTTTTATCACACATTCAGCGGCCATTCACGAATCACGCTCACGCCTCCCTCTCACAGTCTCACTCTCATCTCAATATCCCATCTCTGATCTCTCAGTCTCAGATCGCGGCCGCATCTCATCTATCAGACTCTCCCGAAACTCAAATCTCTCCTGCCTCTCAATCTCTCAACACTTATCAGTCTTCTTCGATTAATCGTCAGTGAGGAACCAGCTTCGATTCGTCACTTCGTCAGTTCGTCACTCGTCACTTCGTCAATTCGTCACTCATCGCTTCGTTAGTCATTCCCATTCCTGGTTCGGCAGTACCACAGTCGCCGGTCGCTATTACTCATCCTCGTCGGCTGGTAATGAATCCCTAACCCCTAATTTTGTGTGTTTGTTTTATATTGATCACTTTGACTTGTTTTATTGTTTGACTTGTTTGGATGGAAAGAAACGTGAGAAAATGAGAATTTTACTTGGTTTTAATCTTCTTTGAGTTGTTTGGGCAGAGAAAATTGGGTAGAAAGAAAATGTGAGAAAGTGAGAGAAATTGGAATTTAATTTAGTTCTAATCTAGTTTGAGTTGTTTGGACAGAGAGCAAATGTGAAAAAGTGAAGATCACAGATTTCGGAATTTCTTATTTAAGAGGTTCTAATCTAGTTTGAGTTGTTTGAACAGAGAGCAAATGTGAAAAAGTGAAGATCACATATTCTTATTACAGATTTCAAAATTTCTTATTTAAGAGGTATTTTGCAGTTTGCTTTGTTTAATTATTTTCTAGTTTTATTTTCATCGTTTTGCTTGCTTCTCCTTGTAATCTAAATCCTGAGCGAGGGATGTATCATGTATGTATAATGTAATAGATGGGTATAAAATATAAATGAGGATTGGGAGTATCATGTATGTTACAGTATGTATAATGAGTATCATGTATGTTACAGTATGTATAATGAGTATTTTATTCATGTGTTTGTGTTGGGTTCCCCTGCTGTTATGATTTCAATTTAATTGATTAATGTAAAAGATAATGCAAGTAGCGAGCTTGTGAAAATCAAGGAGGTAATGACAATAACATGCGCACTAAAAGAACACCGGGACTTGCAATCTTGCTTCCTTTAATCAACAAAAACAATTTGGAATGGAAAAGTGGTGGTGTGATAATTGCTAGTTTGCTACCAATCAAGAACATTCTACTTGAAGAACAAGAACATTAGTTATTAAAACAATCAAGAGCATGTATCAACAAACTAGTTTAAAAGTATAATAAAAATGTCAAATTTGTCATTAGTTATTAATAATATCTCTAGATAGATGATTAAAGTCATACTCATGATACAATCTTCAAATGTTTCCTCTAATTCAGAGAAATCCATTCACATTCTTTTAGGATATGTTCAAAAGCCAGAAGGTCAACATTTTGACTTCTTGGTCAAATCCCTTGACCTAGATTGCCTGATCAACGGATAGGATTGTTAGGTACCCAATAACATTTACAATAATGAGCATAGAGGCATAGCTTTTGGTTCAATTTATAATTGATGTATTTTTTACCTTTAGATTTGGCTTAAAGTTGTAGAAACAGTAATGAATAAGCATCCCTTGAGGTAAATAATGGTCAAATTAATAGCGAATAGGATTAAACAACTTTTCCAAACTTGATAAGGACAAGCCAATTTGGAATAAATTTTGACTAAACTTTCCTTACATTTTACCAATATTTTTTTATTAGAATTTGTACCCTAAGTTTATTTGTTTACTTTATTTATTTAATATGGTATTAAAGTAAAATCTATTGACCCAAAACCCTTTTGATGTTAAAATTGGTTGTGATTTTGTGAAATCAAATTTGTTTTACATGTTTATTGGTATGATAACATTTTAATCAATTTAGAATTTGAAACATGGTTGATTAGATCCCAAAGTTAGATGCAAAAAATAAAAACCAAATTGTGGTCATTAATTAGAGTTTAAATTCAGGTCCAAGATTTGATTCCTACCTAATACATCTACTCAACCACAAAAACCAAAAATACCCACATTCTCTACCTTGAAGAAGTGGAATATACTTGGGAACCTCTTAAAATTTAAATTATGAAACATGTTTATTAATTAAACAACACTAACTTTCAACTACCATTCCCTCTCCTGCAAAATCCGGAAATCAAGCCATAATTAAACAAAAATGAAAAGATAAATTGGTTTATAAGTACAGTGATTAAATGAAGAGAGATGATTTAGAAGACAATAAGATAGATTTGCTTAACTCGGTCAAATTAATAATGAACTTTACACCCAAAGTTTTTCTCCCTTTGAATGGGTANAATGCACCAATCCCTTAGGAAACACAAACATGTCTCCAGCTGCGAGAGTTTGTTTATAAAGTTTGTTATTGGTGTCAATAAATCCAACATTCAACCACCCCTTTAATACCAAGAGCAGCTCAGCTGAATGTGGGTGTGTGTGAGGTGGGTTAATAGCTCCTGCTGGAAATTGTAAAAAAGCATAAGAAACACTTTGACCATCCAAAGCTGGAAAGTTTGTTGCGGTGGCTTTGGTTACTGTGAAGGTTTGTGTGTAGTCGGAGTTAACTACGTTGCACAAGCCGGTGAAAGTAAAGAAGTTTCCATCAACGGCACCATTACCGCTATAGTTCATTGGAACTACAAAATCTGTGGTGATATCTGGATCACCTGCCATGACTATTGCAAAAAAGAGAAAAAATGGAATGGATTTGAGAAAGTTTGAGGCCATAACGATGTACTGAGTATCTAGCTATACAAAGAAAAGAGATGAGTACGAGAGAAGTATTTCTTTATTGTTTTTGTGGTGTAATGCGTGGTAGAACATATATTTATAGTGGTTGTGTTAGTGTCTTGTTGATTTTAATTGTGTTGATGTCGGTTGTTGTGTAACCTCCCTTCCGAAAGTATTGGACATTCCAGGGAAGTTACAAACAGGTTGTGAAGTAATTTAAAGTATGCTATTAGCTAGTAATGCATACCCCATATATAGCACAAAGAAGAATTGGATGAGATTCAATATTTAAATTAGCATCGTGGTGCAACACCTTGCTATAATTTATTTTGGATAGTTGCAACGAAAATTATAAAAGCCTTTTATCAGCTATGTTATATCCATTAATGGAATAGCATTTATAGGAACTGTCAACCGACACTAACATTAGCACTACAAGTTTCTGCTATCATGTTACTAAAGTCTTGTGCAGTGAAGAGAGGACTTATTATATATTAATCTGTATAATTTTCAGTTTTATCAAAGCTTTTAACAAATTTTACAATAATAAACATCTTTGTACAAATATTTTAATAAAATGCGGTGGAAAATTAACTCAGAAAAATAAATAACTACGTACAATGATGAAATTCACATACGAGGACACCCAAAGTTCCGCTTTTAGCTATTTATTATTAGTGTTATTACACAAACTCCACCTTTTTATCAACATGTAATTCAAACACATGTAGGCTATCCCATAAGTAAAACATAAGCACACAAGAAAAATAGAAAACATGAGATTTCATACGTTCTGTAAAATAAAATGTCACAAAAAAATAGTTTTTTATTAATGTATTATTACAACAGACTCCACCCTTTACGAACAAGTGATGCTAATACCATATAGGCTTGCCAGAGAACAATTAATGAAAATAAAAATTAACAAAGCACAAGAAAGATAAACAAATAGATCAGATTGAATTTAAGCCTTAGGTGCAAGGCCTGCCTTGAGCTTTTGAATAGTTGCAACATCAGTTTTGAAGGCCTTAGCAAGGATGGTGTCATCAATGCCAGTAGTAAACACACTTAGAGGAACTGAAATTGTGCCTGCATTAGCACTTCCAAAGGCAGAGATTGCGGCTGTAGGTTGTTTTGGATCATCATTAGATTGATAGTGCACCAATCCCTTTGGAAATACAAACATGTCTCCAACATTCAGAGTTTGTGTATAAAGTTTGTTAGTAGTGTCGATAAATCCAACATTCAAGCTCCCTTCCACTACAAAGAGTAGCTCAGCTGAACGTGGGTGTGTGTGAGGTGGATTAATGGCTCCTGCTGGAAATTGTAAAAGAGCATAAGAGACACTTTGGCCATCCAAAGCTGGAAAGTTAGCCAAGCTAGCTTTTGTCACTGTGAAGGTTGATGGATAGTCAGAGCTAATCACACTGCGCATGCCAGTAAAGGTGAAGAAACTCCCATCAATGGTACCGCTATAGTTTGCTGGAACTACAAAGTCTGTGATGATATTTGGATCACCTGCCATAGCCATTGCAAATAAGAGAAAGAAAGGAATTGATTTGAGAAATTTTGAGGCCATAATGATATGTTGATTAGCTAGGTAGCTATAGAGAGAGTGAAACATTTTGTGGTGTATTATTGCATGGTAGAACACAGATATATAGTAGTTGAGTTCTTGAGCTTTGTTCTTGATTTTTAACAAAGCTGCTACCTGTTCTGATGGCCGGCTGTGATCGAAGATTATTCCTAGGCAAGCCAATTGTTTACTTTATTATTTTTATCAGAAGCTAGCTTTAATGACACTCCTGGGAAAATCAGATTTAAAATTTATACAAATTCTTGTACATTTGCTGTTAAAAGATAAGTTTTCTTCAGGATTTTTCCTGAAGACGTAATGGCAAGATTTGGTCAATGACTAAGATGTTTTTGTCGATAACAACAAATCAATCATGGTGATGAATAAGTTATTGATGAATGCATGTCAAATCCCATTTTCTATATATATATATAAACAAACAAACATATAAAAACAATATTGTTTTCCAAATTAGGGTCTTTGAAACCTGACTTGTTACCCACATATGGATAGTCCAGATGGTTAGAGCGAATGAAGGATAGTGTAGATAGACATACGATCTCAAGTTTAATTCCCTATCTGAGCATTCATGAATTTTTAAGTGGGAGACCATAATAATGGGTTACCGTCTCTTTATATTTTGCTAATGACAGAATGATCTCAGGTTTCAAATGAGAAGCTTAGACCTGACCAAATCCTTTTAGCTTTTCCATATTATCAAAGTGAAATGTTTTGCTTATATAAACAGAAAGGATCTTGGTTTTGTATTTTAGATCAATTATTTTCTCATCAGTTTAGTTTTCTTTGGTGTACATAAAACTATTATTTCCAATCCAGGTTCAGGAGGAAGAGCTCTTCAACCCTACAATATTTCTTTCTCATCTGAATCGGAAAACAATAAATACTATAAGAGCTTGATGTAAAATTTTGCAACTATGGCATATATTCTTAATAATTTTGTTCATCTATTTAAATGTCCCCAGTGTGGTAAAATCTCTTGTGGAAATGGAAATTGTTAAGACTTAAATCTATATTAATGTTAATTATTGCTTCTTATTATAAGTTTTGCAAAAGATTATTAACATATATGTTATGTAATTATTACATTAAATAAGTATATGAATCACATTCAACGCAAAGATGGATGAAAAAAAAAAAAAAAAAAGAGGGTATAAATTCATTGGCTTAAGGTATAAATGATGCAATATCCATGTAGTATTAATACAGGGGCAGAGGCCAGAGGGCCAGAATAGATTTTCTGGCTCTGCCTAGACCTGGCAAAACGGGTATGGACCCGCGGGTCGGTCCGTACCCGGGTAAAAAATATAGGGTATGGGTTCAATAAATTAAACCTATTTTTGTTTGACCCGTACCCGTACCCGGTCCAATAAATTACGGGTCAGAGGCTCTGGGGGACCAAAATGTTAGTTTGAATGAATAAAGGGGTCAGCATAATTAGGAAGATACAATGTCATTATGGGGGCCAGATGTGAGTTTCAGAAACTGAGGTGGCCAGAAATAATTTAAAGAGACGAAAATGATTTTCTATAAAATTACAAAATTCGTGGGACACCTGGTAATAATACACTAATAATTGGTCAAAAAATATGTAATATGAGTGAAGTAATATTTTGCTACTATTATTTAGAGAATATATATAATTGGACGCATCCTTTATCATCCCATTTTTTAATATATACGAATACTCACAAATTAATTATTCATAATTAATAAATTTAACACAACTAATTTATTTTGCTTCAATTAAAAAAACACTCCAGAAAGCAAATTATATTTTATTTTTAAAAACAAAAGTACAAAACCTTAACTTTGCTTCTATTTCATGTCACCAATAAACTCAATTGATATTTTAATATAATTTGAAAATTGTTAAAATGGAAGAACTATAAAATAAAATTTTTATTTCTAACGTTAAATTGATAAGATCGTTATTTATTTATTTATACTATATTAAAGAAGTTTTAAAAACTAGATTGAATGGGAGGGGAATTTTTTAATTGATAGAAAGAAAAACTCAGATAAAGTATGACAATCCTTTATTCCTTTTTATTCTTGACCTACTTATGATTTTTTTTTGTTTTTTTTTAGGTATTTGAGGTATTTAGGCTCACATTGAAGTCTGTCTAATCCTTAGGGTCATTTTAAAGCCACAAAATACCCTACAAGTCTAATAGGTCGAGGTAATTACATAAATGTGGTAAATACCTCTCATACAACTTGAACATAAAACCTACTAGGTATAGCTAATTCCAATGATTAAAGGGTTTGTCATCCGGTCACAAGGGAAGAAGTCTTATGATTTTTTTTTTCTTTCGTTATCCTAATAAGTTGTGATTGATATATACAGTTTTGGTGTTTGCATTAGGTATATGTTGTTGTAAACAAGGTATAAATTAATTAAAAGAGAATTTTAGAAAGGATGTAAATGTGATATGAAATTAAAGCGGGACTAAATTAGAATAAATGAGCATTAACGTGCAAATTATATTTATATGATATGAAAATGTTTATTCTCATTATCTCTTGAGGCCGCACTCTTCTCATACAAATTATACATTTGCAAAAGCCCTCAAGCTCCCAAGTCAATTGTAATGAAACTTATGTGAAACTCTGGTCTAAATAAAGAGAAAAAGAATGGGACTAATCTAACAGTGGAAAGAGGGATTTGCTAAGATGGAGGCCTGACAAAGATGACAGGGGGTAAATATAAATGAAATGTGAGTAGAAGAGGTCTAGAGTGAGTGAGAACTTTGCGCTCACTTTACAACATATTTGATTTTCTCCAATATCTTACTAAATTTTGTGATTGCATTATGCAGATATAACGCAAATAGGAATCGATTATTATTAATAATACATTATTTCAATGAAAATTGTAATCGGATTTTGACAGATAAAAACATTAATTAAAACCATTGTTTGCATATGGAGCTTTGAATGGAATTAGTTGTGGAATAGGATACAAAAATTTGGTATGGCTGTTGACGAATTTATATATGAATGGAGGAAAAAAAATTATGTGCTTGGGAGTAACTATAGAATCATGTATTTCATTTCTCCTTCAACTACTTAATCATCATAGTTTGGTGGCTTGTAGGAGAAAACATTGTGATTATATTTTATTTGATCATTAAGTTTTAAGACGTGTCAAATATGTTTTATTATGATACTGATTCTAGAAAATTTTATGTGGATGAATAATCAAGCTATTGATTTTTGAATTTCTTGGCAAATATATAATAAGAACATAGCATCGATTGCAACAGATGTTCGAGAACTTATCACCTAATTTATAGCTATAATTTCATAAAGCAAACAATCTAGCATAGAAATAATCTTCAAGCTCCGCCGGCCATAAGGAGAAATAACAACTTTGTTGAAAATCAGGAACAAAGCTCAGCAACACAACCACTATAAATTTGCGTTATACCGTGCATTATTACACCACAAAACACAATAAACCAAAACTTCTCATTTTTATATAATCATGGCCTCAAATTTTCTTAAATCAATTCCATTTTTTCTCTTACTTGCAATGGTCATGGCAGGTGATCCAGATATCACCACAGACTTTATAGTTCCTGCAAACGCTAGCGGTAATTACAACATAGATGGGAATTTCTTTACCTCCACAGGCATGCGCAGTGTGGTTAACTCTGACTACCCGTCAACCTTCACTGTGACTAAAGCTAGTCTTGCAAACTTTCCAGCTTTGGATGGTCAGAGTGTCTCTTATGCTGTTTTACTGTTTCCAGTAGGAGCAATTAACCCACCTCACACACACCCACGTTCTGCTGAGCTACTCTTTGTAGTAGAGGGGAGTCTGAATGTTGGATTCGTTGACACCAATAACAAGCTTTATACACAAACACTTGAAGTTGGAGACATGTTTGTGTTTCCAAAGGGATTGGTGCACTATCAATCAAATGATGATCCAAAACAACCTTCAACCGCAATCTCTGCTTTTGGAAGTGCTAATGCAGGCACAGTTTCAATTCCTCCAAGTGTGTTTACGACTGGCATTGATGACACCGTCCTTGCTAAGGCTTTCAAAACTGATGTTGCAACTATTCAGAAGCTAAAGGCAGGCCTTGCACCCAAGGCTTAAATTCAATCAATCTCATCTTGTTCTATTTTGTTGTGCTTGTTTTTACTTTTTTATTTTTTTAATATTTATGTTGTATTATTCTCTAGCTAGCCTATACGCGTCAGGTTAGCATCACTTATTGGTAAATAAGTGGAGTTTATGTAATAACACTAATAATTTGTCAAAATTAATTGTAACTCTAGATGCCGTTAAATATGAAGTCGATCAATGAAGTAGTTATTTTATCTTGTTCGGTTAAATTTAAGTGGTCCGCGACATTTGATAAAAATATTTGCACGCATAGGTTTATTATTATTAAATTTGTTAGGTTGGCTGGAAATGTGAACATTACTCTAAAAGTATATCGTATAATCTCGTAGGAATTTTTATAAACTTTTCATGAGGGTCGTTAATATAACATACCATGAAGATATATGCGTCCTTTTTATAAGCTTATCATCGAATATTACGAATTTTATGGTCAATTTGTTATAGAATTGTTATGCCTGAAAAAGTAGGATTGACGCGGAGTCTTGTCAGCATGGGGTGGTCAGAACTTGTGAAGGTTTCGCGACCGTTCAGACACGGCCACGTCACATAATGACTCAGGTGGCATGCCACTGTCAGTACAGTGGGTGAGTGTCAGGTTAGCGAATTGTTGGAAATCGTCCGCGTGTCTGATCCCTGTGAGAGTCAAGAAAATCACTCGGGCAGGTGAGCAATGGGACGTAGAAAAGGATTTGCACGGTACCTACCCACTTGCAGATTTAGTAATCATTACCTTGGTTTATCCCACTATAAATAAAGGACTCCCCTCTCATTTGCGGGATTAGCTAATTTCACTCTACAATAGCTCTCTCTCTCTGTCTCTCTCTCTCTGTCTCTGTCTCTGTCTCTTGTATTCTCTAAGCTGTAACTCAGTTCGTTGAATGCGACATGACCTTACTCTCATTAATACAATATCAGTGGACATAGGATTTGCTTTTGAGGATCCAAACCACTTTAAACGTTGCTTTTCACTCTTTATTTAACTAAATATTCTCACATCGCGTGTGACTTCTAAGTCCGCTTAGCATTTCTCACGTGCGAATAGTTGGTGTTAAAATCAAGCATCAACAAGAATCAATACTTTGACATGGTACTTGTTAGGTTTAGAGCAAAAACAGAGAAGAAAAATGATAAAGAAAAAGTAAAGGAGAGTAAACTGAATATACTTTGTATTTTGTATAAGATTCTCTAAAGAATACAGTTTACAATGTAGCTCTTATATGCTACAGTCAGCTTAGTAAAATAGCTGAAATATAACTGCATTTACCAGCAATAACAACCTCTTAACAAACTAAACAAGGCAGTTTAATAACTACTGTAAACAAACTTAACAACTTATTAACAACTTAACAAATTCTTAACTTCCTAACTGATATCTTCCCTTAAACTAAACTGAGTAAGATTCTTCCAATTTCTGATAATAATATCTTCCCTCAAATTAGACTGGGAGGTTTTGACATTCTTCTTATGACAGACACTCTTCTTGTAATTCTTCATAATCTTCATAAGAGTAGAGGACTGCTTGCTCAGAACACACATCATCATTGCCTCAAAGGAAGACCAACGAAGAAGGGCTCACAAAAGCATCTTCACAAGAGCAACAACCAAACTTCCTCACAAGAGTATCTTCACAAGAGTAACAACCAAACTTCTTCACAAGATCAAACAACCAACTTCTGTATCAAAACATTACCAAACTAACTTCACTAGTCATAAGAAAATTCTTCACAAGCACAACAACTACACTTCTTCTTAAGGACAAACAAACGACTTCTGTACCAGAGTAAATGACACCAGAATATTGCTGAACAAATTTCACTAGTCTCAATCATACTCACGGTCTGTTAGAATAGACTGCAGTACCACAGCTATCTTTTACTTCACCATAGGATACCAGCCAGAAATCAACATTTTCACTAGTCATCAAAGACAACCAATATAAGTTAGCCACAGAAATCATCATTTTCATCAATCATCAGAAAACAACTAATATAAGAGCAGAAGTTAAAAACACAACCATAACCTTTTAACTACCAATTTCAGTAGTTGAAAGAGAAAATTCTGATTCACCAATATTCTGAGGACAAGCTCCAACTGTAAGTTTGGTTCTGAAATGTTCAAATTTAGCAGTGGACAAAGACTTGGTAAACATATCAGCTTTTTGGTGATCAGTAGGAACATAGAGTACTTTAAGATGTTGAGTAGCAACATGTTCCCTGACATAGTGGACATCCAATTCAATGTGCTTTGTCCTAGCATGAAAAATTGGATTGGAAGCTAGGGACCCTGCACTTTGATTATCACACCAAATAACAAGTATCTCATTGAGTGTTAGACCAATTTTAGAAAACAAACTGTGAAACCAAGCTATTTCAATTGCCCTTTGGGCAAGTGCTCTGTATTCAGCTTCTGTAGAAGATAGAGACACTACCTTTTGCTTCCTAGAGCTCCACTGTAACATATTAGGACCAAGAAACAAACAACAACCACTTGTGGACCTTCTATAAAAATTTATTAAGCATTTCTAAGTTTACTAGAGACAATAGTGTAATTGTTTAGTTCCTTGCTGATCATTGTATGGTTAAGGACAAACACTCCAAAGTTGTTCTTCTTCAAGGAAAGCTTAAAGTTGGCCTTTATCAACTTCAAACACCTGCTGTCGCTTCTCCACAGTCCAATCTGCCTGTTGGTCATTCATTTGCTCCAGTCTCCAACTCACTACAATTCACTCAATCTAAACCTTCATAGTCTTCTAAATCATGTCCTAATAATACTAGTACATTGTATGCTCCTAAAGCACCTGATATTACTAATGCCTTGTCTGATTCTGTTGTTGCAAATAATATGTCTAGTTCTGATATTTCCAAGTTTCCTACATTTGTATCCAATTGTAATAATGCTACTAATGCTAAAGAAAGAAGCATAATTCAATCTTTTCCAGTAGAAAAAACTAATAGCATGTTGTGGCATAAGAGGTTAGGACACCCTAATGCAACTGTTCTTACTAAAATTCTGCATGTTTTACAACCTAACTGTTCTATAAAAAACACAATTGAATTCTGTCCAGCATGTCAGTTTGGTAAGCTTCACCAATCAGTTTTTCCTCAATCTAAGTCTAGAGCTTCAGATCCATTAGAATTAGTCTATTCAGATTTGTGGGGACCATCCCCTATTCCATCTCCTGAAGGATTTAAATATTACATATAGTTTCTAGATGACTATAGTAGGTTCACCTGGATTTTTCCATTGAAAGCTAAATCTGAAACACAATTAGTCTTCCAACAGTTCCACAAATTAGCTGAAAGACAATTTAACAAACCCTTGAAATGTGTCCAAACCGATTGGGGAGGTGGATATAGGAGTCTAGTTCTTTACTTTGTTAACCAAGGTATTGTCTTTAGGCATCCATGTCCCCACATTCACCAGCAAAATGGAAGAGTAGAGAGGAAACATACACAAATAGTTGAACAAGGCTTAACCTTGTTAGCTCAAGCCAACATGCCCTTAAAATATTGGTGGCATGCTTTTCAAACTACTACTTTTCTCACCGACAGATTACCTGCACAAGCTCTGTCTAATTCTTGCCCATTCAGGTTTCGTTTAAGAAAAATCCTGACTACTTTGTTTTTAAAGTTTTTGGTTGTGCTGTGTACCCTTTTATCAGACCATATAATTCTTATAAGTTTGGTTTTCACACCAAACAATGCACTTTTGTTGGTTACAATATGCATCATAAAGGTTACAAATGTATGGATTCAAATGGAAAGATTTATGTTTGTCAAGGTGTCAAATTTGATGAGTCTCATTTTCCCTTTGCTTCAACCCAATCTGTTTCCAGGGACAGTACCTGTATTCCTTCCTCCTCTTATGATCACACTCATATTGTTCCATTTTTCTCCCTTCCCAACTTGTCTTGTTCATCTTCTGATGTCTCTATTGGTTCTTCAGACTTATCCATCACTGATCAGGAGAACTCACCAACATTAGAGTCTCCTAGTAATACTTTACCTGCTCATAACCCTAGTGTATCTGCTCCCAACCCTTTGTGCACACTGCCTGTTCAGTCTACTGAGACTACCTCACCAAACTCTCTTGAATGCACCTCAAATTCATCTACAAACTCTTCTACACAGCCACCTGTCCAGTTTGCCTCACCTACATCTCCCACACAAACCTCACAGTCCCTTGCACACTTACCTGTTTTTTCTTCACTTATTGATGATCTACCTTCTCCTCCACAACTTTCTACTTCAACCAACCTACCTGATTGTATTCACCTTATAGTTGAGTTGCCTTTTGAGCCTAAGCCCTTACCTACTCATCCCATGATTACTAGAAGCAAAGCCAAACAACATAGTTCTTTAACTGTTTCCTCCACAAATCACTCTTCCACTCTTGACACAACTGAACCAACCAATGTTACTGAAGCACTCTCTCATCCCTCTTGGAAAGCTGCCATGGAGAGTGAGTTCAATGCTTTGCTCTTTAATAATACCTAGAAACTTGTTCCTGCTGAGTCAAACATGAATGTTGTGGGGTGTAAGTGGGTCGTCTTTCGACTTAAACATAATCCTGATGGTTCTATTCAAAGATACAAAGCTAGATTAGTAGCTAAAGGATTTCAGTAGACCCCTGGTGTTGATTACCTTGAAACCTTTAGTCCGGTTATCAAATCTTCCACAATTAGAGTAGTATTGAGTCTAGCTATTACCTATGGTCGGGATATCCAACAAGTGGACATTAATAATGCATTTTTGAATGGAGAACTAAGTGAGATAGTTTACATGACTCAACCCACTGGTTTTGTTGATACTCAGAATCCACTTCTTGTTTGTCAACTAACTAAAGTATTGTATGGCCTAAAACAGGCCCCAAGAGCTTGGTTTGAAAAGCTTAAGACCGCCTTTCTCAAATGGGGTTTTGTCTCTTCTATAACAGATTCTAGCTCATTTATTTTTAGGCAGAATGCTCAGGTCTTA